GTGTGTGTGTGTGTGTGTGTGTGTGTGTGTGTGTATGAGTGAGAGAGAGAGAGAGAGAGAGTGACAGAGACAGAGAAACAGCGAGATGGAGACAGACAGGCAGACAGACAGACTATAGGCTTATTACAGATCACCTACACTAGGGGAGTACTCATGGAACATGCTTGATCCCTGGTGGATAACCCTGTATCAGTTCCCTCTAGGTTTCCTCTGGGAGACTTTTTTTTTTTAAAACCTTATCACAGCAAAGAAAGCCTTGGTGATGACTATTTTGGAACTATTGCCTCCTCTCCACAGCACCTTGGCACCTACTAGTTTCTTGTGCCCACTGGAAACGTCTGCCCCAGGATCCCGTTGACCCATGTTTTGTTAGTGTCTCTTCATAGCTTGTCTTTCCACCTTGCCAAGTCAAGGTCCCTCTGCCCAAACTAGACCATACTTAGTGTTGACAAGTGAAAAGGCCTAAAGCTGCCTGGGAACGGCTAGGAGGGAAACCAGTTTTTCAGCTTCAGGGCCTTGCCACAGCCCACTGGGTTTTCTCAACCATCCATCTTACCAGACTTAAGCTGCTTGCTAAGTTCCTGTTTCATAGAGAAACACAGAAGTTAAGAGATGGGCCAGCCTCAGAGCAAGGGCTGGTTGGGTGAGGGTTTGGGGAGTACCTCCCACTCCCAGCTGTGATGAACCAGGGGAGCTGGGGGGTGGTGGGGGTGGTGGGCAGGGATAGACAGAGAGGAAACATTGGCTAGTAAATCTTCATAGTTTTGTTTTTTTTGGAGACCAAGAGTGCCCAACAATTGATTTAAGGAAGTACCCAGTGAGTTGGTAAAATCCACGGCTGACGTGGGTTAACTAGTAAAGAGTGGATAGCCCAACCCCTTCTGAGGTCCCAACTCATGAGCAGCTGAAGCCAGTTGGCTTGCAACGGAGTAAAAACTGACTTTGTTATCACTTGTAGACGAACTAGTTAAACTCCCTGTGAATGTGTGTGCAACTGCCGTTTTGGCCACATCCTTTTCTAGTCTGAAAAAAGTTTTAAAGCACAAAGGAATTCAAGCAGTGGCTGCCTGTAATATTAATCCTTGAGGCAGGAGGGTTGCCATGTATTCAAAGTCCTCCTGGATTATATAGCAAGGCCCTCGGCAACAACAAATAAAAATGTGGCTTCAGGCAGAGCTTGATGGTGGTCTGTTGTGCCAGTACTTGGGAGAGAAGGGCGGAAGGGTAGAGAGTCTGAGGCTAGCCGAGGGTACACAGGAAGCCCCTCAGTTTCAAAAACTATCTCAATACCTTACCACTTTAATCGTAGTTACATGACTTCAAACAGGGTCTCCTGGAATCTCATTTTGTCCTAGCGACTATGGGAGTTACAGAAGCACACACTGAAAATGGGAGGGGATAAATCCCACGTGCCCATGCCAGGTCCACTCTGTCTCTTTCTCTCTGCCTCTGTTGCTTTCTCTGCTTGCACATCAGGATGCAGCTCCGGGCTCCTTTGCCAGCACCACACCTGCCTGCCACCATGCTCCCTGCCATGACAATAATGGACTAAGCCTTTAAAACTGTCAGCCAGCCCTCAAGTATTAAATGCTTTCTTTTATAAAAAGGAAAGAGGGAGAGGGAGAGGAGTCAACACTGAGCTCAAGCAGAATGTCCGGGATTTAATACTTGCTCCTGGCAGGCTGGATGGCCTGGGGTGTATCCTTTTCTCTCTGTGCTCATGAAGGTTCTGTTCAGGACTGAATGTGGAACTTGCAGGGTTGGATACAACATGGAAATGTGCCCCCCCTTTTTTTAAGTATTAAGATTATGAAACAAGGTGGAGGAACATACAAGTCCAGTCTCTACCACAGAGTGTGCCTGAGGCCATCCAGGATTATAAGAGACTGTCTGAAAAAAGAAGAACAAAAATGAATGAACAGACAGCCAAAAACCAAAAAGCAAGCAAGGAAGAAAAGAAGTGTGAGACACGCCGCCAGGAAGAAACCATTAAAAACAGCTGGAGCCCCCTCCCAACCCCCCCCCGGCCCAAGTCCCCAAAGGAATGCCTAGGTCCCACAGAGCTGACCCTTTACCTCCTTCAATCATAGTTGGATGGAAAGCCCAGGAGGGCTGCTTGCTGCTGGAGCTCTGCTTTCTGTCACAGGCCCTGCAGTGTTTCCAAGGAGACTCAGGCTTAGGGAGCATAGTTAGAGAAAGCCAAATTAGAAGTCCCAATAGCCTTTTCAGAGACAGGGGATGGGTGGGAAGGAGGGAAGGAAGGAGGGAGGAAGAGAAAGAGGAAGGGAAGGAGAGAGGGAGAAACGGAAGGAAGGAGAAACTAATTTGGGCCCCAAATAAAGTTTTCCTATCCACCTCTGAAGGTAACTTGTGCTAGGTGAATGACAGTATTATCATCTTTTTGCCTGTGTAGCTTCCTGATTTACAGAATAATGCCACATCCGGGGTCTTACAGGGCCAGCTTTGTACAACCTCACCAGGAAGTTTGCATGGGTAGTTTACAGAACTGATAACCAAAGATGAGAGAGAGAGAGAGAGAGAGAGAGAGAGAGAGAGAGAGAGAGAGAGAGAGAGAGATTACGTGACTTGCCCAAGGCCACACAGCTGCTACTGAGGCTAGAATCCTAGAAACCGGACTCCTAGGAACAGGGAGGGGCCTTTCCTATGGCCTGCTCCATAGCAGCAATAAGGTCAGGAGAAATGGGTAAGCTCCCCGCTCTGGTGTGAAAACATAGGACTAGAGCCCACGGTGGGGGCTATCTACCTTCAGTTCCTAATGATGTCACAGGAGCTCCTTCGGGTGCCAGTCTTAACTGTATACACACTCCCTGGCTGAGCCACAGTGAGGCTCTTAAACAGGAACAGTTGAGGCCAGCCCTTTGGGTCCCAAGGAAGGTAGGAGCTGGGCTGGCTGGAGACTCTTCTACAGCTATGCATCTGAGGCAGGGCTTAATCGCAAGGACATAAAGGGAGTGCAGGGAAGCTAGTTTGCAAGGAGATCAGGTGGAGTTCTAGGTTTTGGCTTGAATGACCTGCAGATGGGGCTCGGTTAGTGCCCATGCCTGGCAGAACAAGTGTTGGGGCACAGGCCTGGGCAGGCAGGCCCCGATGAACAAGCAGTATGGAATTTGCTTCTCCTCAGCTGTGTGAGCCCAGTGAAGCCTGTTTGCTCATTTGGTAAGGAGGAGGAGTCATAGCCCTTGGGTTCTTTTCAGAGAGCATGTCCTTGAGCTGTGTGATTGGTCTGAATTCTGTTTTATTCACCAACTTGATATTAAAACCACCTTGAGCAAGTTGCTTTCTCTCCAGGCTCTAAAGGCATCACTCACTTTCCATACTTTGAAAATGAGAATGACACCAACATCCTCTCATAGCTTAGGAAGATAAAGAGGCAATGCACATGATGCCTTCTGCACAATGGTACAGAACACAGTGATGATGGTGATGACAGCCGTACTTTTTATAAGTAGAAGCTCTCAGAGAGCAAATACACTCACACATGCCAGGCTTCTCAGTGAGGGCAGGACAGGTCTGAGGCCTTTGGAAGCAAATCTGGGTGATCATATATAATTTATTTTTCATGTGTATGTATATACATGCTTTTGCTTTTGTGTACATGCCCATGTCAAGGCAGGAGGTTTATATTGGAAATCATCCATGACTCATCTATCTTATTCATCAAGGTAGCGTTTCTCAGAAAACCAAAAGCTTGCCAATATGGCTAGTCTTGCTAGCCAGCTTGATGTGGGGAAGCAATGTCAACACGTTGGGAGACTAGAATTACAGGCTGGCCTCCACACCTATGTAGCATTTATAGGAGTTTCTGGGGTTAGGGACTCTGGTCCTCACTCTGGTATAGCAAGAGCTTTAACCACTGAGGCATCTCCCTAGCCTCCATAATCATTTTCACACTTGGAGAATTAGGCCTTGTTGACCCAGCCCAGGCAAACTCAGCCTGTTGCCTTTGTTGAACACTGGGCCCCTAGAACCTTGGTTCTCACCTTCAGTGTGGTCCCTTGTGACAAAAGTGCTGGCTCCAAATTTTATGTACCATACTTAACAAGTCCCCAAGAGTGATGTGAGCCCATCTCTGTCCCCTTCATAAGGTTGCAACAATCTTCATACAGGCTGGAGGTAGCTGGCTGGGTATGGAGCACATGCATGTGAGAGGAAGCATGCACACACACCACGCATGCTCATGAGCACATTCTCAAGCCCACGTGTTTCTCTCCTGAGATTCTGGGAGCCTCACATCCCTGCCCCCACCTTAGCCTCTTCTCTTCCTCCCCCGCCGCAAAAGCCACAGGTACCAGCAGTCTCCTCCAATACAACAACAGCAGACACAATGCAAAACCAGAGGCAGGCATCTTTGCAAAGTTGTTTCAAGCTTCTAGCAGGATGTGAGCCCAGGTGGCTAACGGCTAGTCCGGGTGAGACCAGAGAAAATGCTGATGAAGTGGGTTCAGTAAAGGAGGCAGTGGCTGAGATGTAGCACAATGCTGATGGGCAAAGAGCTGGGATGCCAGCCCATCTGGCCCCACCATCTCCTAACCAAGTGCTGAGTGTCTTCAGGCAGGCCATACCTCCTGTCTGAAAGTCAGTTTTCCTGTCTAGAAAATGGGGAAATCAGAGTCTGCCCACACAAGGTTACGAGTGTTTCAAAGACATGGGAGGTTTTAATAGCACTGTCATGGTGGCTACACCTTAGAAGATTAAAATGTTCCCTGACAGCAGAGGAGTCTGGGATGGTGTGGCCGCCCAGGTTGATCGCCACCTCCCAGAGCACTGCCACTTAGCCAGTCTCTTTCTTCACAGTCAAAGTCCTATGCCTTAATGTTCTTTGTGGTTACTTGTCAAGGAACACATTGGTGGGTTAGGATCTGTGGGCTCGCATGTAGGGAGAGGACGGGTCCCCAGTTCCATCTACTTATCTGTTGTCCCCAGTGCAGATAAGGGATAGTCTACATGCAGCCACCTCCTTCTACAGGTATAGCAGGCAGGCTTGAGTCTCCCATATTTTTTCAACTCTACAGTCTATAGCCAGGAAGCCACTGTGTGGCTGAGGGTAAATAAGGGTGGCCAGAGGCAACCCTAAAATGTCTGGAGTCAGTGTGGGTAGGAACAGCTCTGGCCCTCTCCTGCAGGTGGACATAGGATGGGCCCTCTGGGTTATGGAGCCTTATGAATAGGAGCATTAGCCTACAGGATCCTTTACTTTGGGAGACAGGGACTCACGTGGCTCTGCATCCCAGGGCCCAGGAGAGGGTGTCTGTCCATGATGAGGCATGCACAACTGGGAGAAGGTAGAATGTGCTGCCTGGGGTCTGGCTCTGGAGGAGGCTTATGATAGTAACTCCATGGTGATGGACCAGCAGGGACTCTTGGGACATGTATGGTACAGAGGGAGGAGAGCTAAGCAAGAAAGAATGAATCCCAAACCGAAGTGAACAGTCAGCAGAATTGGGGGCCTCTAGCTAGTCCAGCTGAGGATGGCCAGAGGGAAGGCTACCCACATAGAGGTCAAGGAGGTGGTAATAGGGGCCATGGCTGACAGGGGTTTTGTATGCTGTTCCAGCCATTCGAACTCCTCCAGCAGCTGGCGGCGCTGCAGTTCTGGACCAACTTTCTCACGAATGGTCTGGTAGTAGTGATTCAGGTACTGGAGCTGCAAAGGGAAGTGGGTTTGAGCTAAGCTGCCAAGAGATGAAGTCTTGTTACCATCTGGTCCCTGCTATGGGACTCTGTGGACTAGGGTCCCAGCCATTTTCAGATCTCTGCTATTTTCTGGGGCTTTCCAGAGACAGTGCTCTGTGGTGGTTGCTTTACAATAAAGTGACACTCATGGAGAGGAGGTTGCTTTCTGGCACAGGAATAAAAGGGAAGGAGAGTAGTTATCTCTAATTTACAAAAAAAAAGGGGGACTGGGGCCCAGAGTGGGGAAGAACAGCATCTCCTTCTATGCCTTTTTGTAGCAGAGCTCAGAAGCCCAGTCTCAGAGTCCCTAGGGGTTTATAGTGTTGGGGCATGCTGGTCTGACTAGAAAGTCCTAGAAACTTTGGGACCTCTGACAAGGTGGGAAGACATGCCCCCGACAAGTACCTAAGGTGCCATCATGTGGGTCTTCTCGGTGAAGGGCAGAAGTCCTTGGAGTAGGGAGATTAGAAGCAAGAGAAAGCAGAGGGTGGTTGGAAGTGAGCTGAATAGCAGGCAGTACTAAAGACTTACCTGCTCTGGGGAAAGCAGGCTGACATCGATGAGGTTTCGGTCATAGGGCACAAACGACACCACTTCAAAAGTCAGGTAGGTCCCTGGGTGCTGAAAGTCCATAGCGAAGGTGAGAAAGCAAGAAAATGAGGGAGGCTGAGAAACTGGCTGAAGGTAGCAAGGGAACACTGCACTCAGAAGCCGGAAGCGCAGGGAACGAATCCTAGCCAGCTTTGGACACTGCAGCTAGCCTTTCAGAGTCCGTTCTCTTGGCCAGTCCTCTCATCTGCTACTCAGCAACCTACTTTGCTGCTTCCTTCCTGATTCCTGGAAGGAATTAGACTCATGTCTGATGTTCAAAGCATGGGCATCAACAGTGTATAGGGAGCACATTAAATATTTGGGTTGTAAGGACTACTTCCAAAACCCACTGGAGGTAGAATCTTTAGGGCAGGGCCATGGAACCTATGTTTAAATAATCTGTAAATGTTATTTGATATCTACCTACTCCCTCTAGATAGGGTCTTCTGTTGCCTAGGCTGTCTTCAAACTCAATGTGTAGCAAAATTTGACCTTGACCTTTTGATCCTTCTGCCTCTAACTCCTGAATAGTAGGATGACAAGAAAGTACCATCAGGTTCAGTTCATCGCATACTGAGGATTGAACCCAGGGTGATAACTGAGTCACATCTCAGTGCCCATAGATGCCAGAAGAGGGTATAAGATCCCAAGGAACTAGAGTTCCAGATGGTTATGAGCTTCCATGTGGATGTTGGGAACTGAACCTGGGCATTTTACAATAGTAGCAAATACTCTAAACTGCTAAGCCATCTCTCCAGCCCTAAGATCTACCTCATTTTTAAAGGGATGCATAAAAGTCTAAAGTATGGGGATATATCCTGATTTACTCAACCCGGTCATGGGACTGGGAAATATTTGCATTTTTTACTATTACTTATCAATGCTACAAGTTGCTAACACTATGTAAACATCTTGATGAACTTTTGGGACTGTATCCTGGTGGTACATCTGGTTGAAGGACAGCTGAGACAGAGACACAAGGCATTTTGATAGATATTGTTACACTATCCTCCACAAAGTTTGCAACAATGTATACTTCTCTGAACAGTGAATGAGGGTGCTCATCATACCACATACTCATCAGCACTGGGTACTATCAGTCTCTAATTTTTACTAATCTGGTAACTGTATGTAACTATATAGACAAGTCTTAGAAAGTCAGAGTGGATGCTACCATACATACTTCTCTGTATCTTCCTTCCCCTTTTATTGTAGTAGTAAACCCAGGGGAACGATATGCTATTCTATTGTTGTTTTGATTTATACACATTTAAGGATACAGTACAGTTGAGCATCTGTTTACGTGCATTCAATTACTGTTCATTTTAGCAATCTGTCTCTTCATGTCCTTTGCCCTTGTCTCCCAGTTTTGATTTTGTAGGAGTTCACAGGAAAAATTAAGGATATTGAGCCTTTCTTTAATGCACATATTATACTTGAAACAGAACTTTTGATTTTGGTTATGCTATGATTTCCATACAGACATTTTCTATTTAACTTAGTTATGACCCCCCCATCACTTCTGAGTCTTATAAAGAGAGGTCCTTTTCCACACAGGATTATAAATGAATTCATATAGGTTTTCTTCTATGCCTTAGTGGTTCTATTGTTCACCATGAAACTTCAGTTTATCTGGTAGCAAGCAGGAGAAGGGAGCCAAGAGTGGGTAAGAGCTGTATGGATATGATCAAGGTATGTGATACCCCTGATCTCATGCAATCAATATATAATAACAAAACCTTTTTGGTTCATGTGAGATTTTATTTGCTATAACAGTGATGGTATTTGGTTTACTCTCCACGCTGATAATCGTTTATTCCCTTGCCTATTTGTGGAGTGATTTCTCTCTTCCCTCCTGTGGTGAAACACCAGCTAACTCTCTGTGTTTATGTGAATTAGGAGTTTATTTCTGGACTGGCTGCTTCGCTTCATTATCCCTGCTGTCTGTTTCATCTCCAGTTCTAACTTGTTTTTGTTGGAATAGTTTATGGTAGGATTGGATAGGGCTAGTTTGTTCCCCCTTAGCTACCTAGCTATTTTGCATGTTTATTTTCACAAATAAACATTGCTGTCATTGGTGAAGACACAAAACTATCTACTTAACATTGAAATTGAGGTTGTCTTGAATTTAGAGATTAATTTAGGGAGAATGGCATGTTCATAATATCATGGCTTCTTCCCAGAGAGCACCATTTATGTAAATCTTTTTTATGTTCCTTAACAGAGTTTCTCTGTGTAAGTCTTTTAAATTTATATCCAGGTATTTCATCTTGTTGGCTGCTATAATATCAAATCCTTAGCCCTAACAAGCTCCCCTGGCGATTATTATGTGCACAGAGAACCAGAGAGCTGGAGAAGGATACTGATTCACTTAGTCTGGAGTGGGGCCTGGCACTGATATTTAAAAACAAAAACAAAAACAAAAAAACAGATTCCCAGATGATTCCTGTGTGCAGCCTGAGAAATGAACTCCAGATAAAGTCATGCTTGTACATCAAATGCCTTTCTCCTTTGGTCTTCCTTATCCCCATTCACCCAAAGTCAGAGCCATGCTGTCCATCTGTGTCTAGCCCATGGCACATTACCTTGGTCTTTGCTTCTACCACAAGGGCTATATCTTCAAGACGGACTCCAAATTCCCCATCCTGGTAGTATCCGGGTTCTGAGAGATACATACAGAGATGCTAATGACATTAAGCAATGGATAAGAAGGACCCATGCCCAGGTTTCCTGCACCAATCTTTAAATAACTGCAGGGCCTGGCAGCCTAAGCCCGGCTACCTGTGGCTTTGGCTCTGTCAGCCCCACAACTTGTTAGATTCTTGGCCTTAGATCTTCTTGGGTATAACTTGACCTCACCCCCCCCCACACCCCTTGTATTCTAGCAGGAAAGATTGAAGATCCCACTTAGGGCTCCAATCTCCATGTGTGCCATTGTCCTAGCATTTGATGGACAACTCCATAGTTTGGGTGGACGCCTGGAAACCATTTCCCAAGGACAAAGAGAGAGTTATGAAGATCCAGGCCTGGTGGCACATGCATGCAATACCAGTACTGGAGAAGTGGAAGTAGGAGATGGATCAGGAATTTAAGGCCCGCTTCGGCTGTATAATGAGTTCAAGGGAAGCTTGTGCTATGTAAGATGCTCTAAAACAAAACAAGAAGAAAGGATATGGGGCACAGGGAGCTTGGAGTAAGGGCGTGATAACCATGCGGGTCTAGATTTAGGAAGAGAAGCAGTGATAGAGCTGTGGCTAAACCTATACCTAGCATGATCCCTAAAGATGGGTGGATATCAGAGAAACTAGGAAACAAGGATGACCCTAAGAGATTCATACAAGGTCCCCTACAGAAGGGGAAAGGGACAAGATCTCCTGAGCATATTGGGAGTGGGGATGGAGGTGGGTTGGGGGAGGGCAGTGAGTGGAGAGGAAGTTAGGAGAAAGAGAAGGGGAGAAGAGGGGAGAGGAGAACATGGGGGGGGCAGGAAGTTTGAGTTGGGGGATAAATAGACGAGAGCAAGAAAAGAGATACCATAATAGAGGGAGCCATTATAGGTTTGGAGAAAACTGGCACTAGGGAAATGTTCAGAGACCTACAAGGATGACCCAAACTAACAATCTGAGCAATAGTGGTGAGGCTACCTTAAATGCCCTTCCCCAATAATGAGACTGATGACTAACGTATATGCCATCCTAGAGCCTTCATCTAGTAGCTAATGGAAGCAGAAGCAGACACCCACAGCTGAACACTGAGCCAAACTACTGGGATCCAGATGTAGAGAGGGAGGAATGATGAGCAAAGGGGTCAAGACCAGGCTGGAGAGACCCACAGAAACAGCTGACCTGAACAAAGGGATGCTCATGGACCCCAGTCTGATAGCTGGGAAACGAGCATTGTACTGACTCAGATCCCCTAAATGTGAGTCTCAGTTAGAAGGCCTGGACAGTCTAAGGAATCTCTGACAGTGGAACCAGGATGTATCCCTGGTGCACAAAAGTACTCTGGGAGCACATTCCCCATGGAGGGATACTCCCTTAGCCTAGAGGCAGGAGGGAGGGCCTAGGCCCTCCCCCAAATGACTTGACAGATTTTGATGATCCCTCCTGGAAGAACTCACCCTTCCTGTGGAGTGAGTGGGTGGGGAATGGGATGGGAAGGGGGGTCAGGTGACATGAGAGGATGGGAGGGAGAGGGAACTGGGATCGATATGTAAAATAAGAAAAAATAATAAATATAAAAAAATGTGGGTGCAGATGACTACATTCCCCCAGACAGCTTCACTCTGACATGGAGTAATGGGGTAGAACTCAAGAACCATACCAATGGAAGTGAACATGCCCTTGGCCATGGCAATGTTGTTAGACTGGAATCCCACTGGCCCTGGGAAGAAAGATATAAGCAGGGCTTTAGCTCTATGTCATCAGCTTGGAAGTGAGCAGGTTGTGGGGGGGGGCAGGTAACTGGAGGGAGGATCCCTAGGTATGTCTAGAAGCACTTGTCATATGTGGAACTGACATACACCAATCGGCTTTGCCTTTTATTTCCCTGGGGTATACACTATTTGGTCAGCAGGCCGTGGTTCTCTCTCTGGAAGACCCACGGTCAATATTATTCATTTAGCCCTTAGAGCATCATGCCCACCATCTGGTGACCTTAGGTGGGTCATGCACCTCTGTGGATTGGTAATTTCCATGCTGGAGAGCATCAAACAAGTATAGCTGAGAAGATACTTACACTCATGCACACAGAAGAAATTGCCAATGCCATGGCCTGTCCCATGACCATAATTGAGTCCAACTTCCCACAAGGCTCTTCGAGCAAAAGCTTCCACCATTCTTCCTGAGAGGGAAAAGAGATTGTTCTTGGTCCACTGAATAGACCCTAGACTGTCCACCTTGACCTTTCCTACTCAACTTCTAGAGTGGTACCTGAGGAAAAGGGCTCTTGAGAGGACACTGGAGTGGGATGGCGAAGGGATGATGGATGAAGCTAGTAAATGTTTCCTGACTCCTTACTATCTCTTGAACTCTGTACACTGGACTCATAACCTGGACGCATGACTCTACTAAAATGTCTTCTCATGAATTAGGCCTTATCACTTGGACAGTCACTTCCTCCCAGAATTATATATGACTTCTGAAGTTCACACTGACCTCCCCTGCCTCTGAATGACAGCACTGAATTAAGAGGCAGGAGAACTTGGTTGGTGTCCCCACTAACCCTATGTAGGACCCTGGACAAGTCCTCTCTTTTGGCTGGATTTTCTCATTTATGAGAGAAGAATGTGATGTTCCATAGCCTCCAAGGATAGCAAGGTGAGTCCCATTAAAAGCAGAGCCTGGGGGACCTGGGTCCACTTTGGTTTCTGAAGTCTACCTGATGTCGAAGCAGGAAAGATGAGTCTGGACAGATCGATGTTTCCCATTAGCACACGTGTGTACGCCTCCTGGTAAGGAGAGAGGAGGAAGAGGTGATGTGGAGGACAGGAGGAGGAGCCAGGCAGCTTCCAGCAGCATGGTCTGGAAGCAGATGGGAATGGAGGCCCAGGAACAGCAGACACATTCTCATGTGTAGTCAGTCACTCAGGTTTCGGAAGATGACCAAAAGAAGGTGGGGAACGAAGGTGTTCCCAAAGCTGGGGCCAACTCCATGTGCTTTTCTCTTAGGCTGATATACAGGGGTCATTGTCATGTGCCGAAGACATGCTTATAGAGAATAGTGACTGAGTGGGTGGCAGCAAGTCTTTTTCAATTCAAGTCTTGGATCCTGGCTTGACCACTCACAGACTCTCTCTATCTCTCTCTCTCTCCTTCCTCTCTCTTTCTCCCTCCCTCTCTTTCCCTCTCTCACTTTTTCTCTGTTTAGCTATGGCTGTCCTGGAACTCTGTAGACCAGGCTGGTCCTCGAACACAAAAATCTTCCTGCGTCTGCCTCTGGAGAGGTGGAATTAAAGGCACGCGCCACCATACCCAGATCTCTCTTATCTCTTTATACCTTGGTTTCCTCATATTTAATAGGTGCCTGGTTGCTTAAGTTGTTAGATGAGGTAGACTGACACTGAGTATACAGCAATGAACAAATGCTCAAGCAAAGTTAGCCTAGTTGCTCCTGTATCCCTCATAGGTAGGCTCTCAATTTTCTATGTAGCCAAGGTTGGCTTTGAATAGTCAGTCTTCCTGTTTGTACCTCTCCAGTATGTACTACTATGCCTTAGCAATTTCCTTTAGTTTTCTTAAGGCCTAAAGTTTGGGTTGGGCCTGATCATGTGGCAGGGCAGGCTTCCTGTTGAGGGAGAGAGACGGGCAATGGTGACCTGTTCTGGTCACTACTAGTAGCCATGTGGTCATTTCCTTTCTCCATACTCTTGCACTGGCTCACTGTCTGGGGCTCTGAGAAAGCTGACTCTTCAACATGCTATACTATGAGCTCCTGGAGGCCTGCATAACAGGGCTTCTCCATTTAGGCAGCTCCCTGGCCCACTCACCCTAGCCAGTGTCCCAGGTTCTACTCTAGCTGAGCAGCCATCCCTGTTTTCAGACCAGCTCTAGCTCCTCTGAGAAACCCTGTGCCATTTTCCTCCACTACAGATGGCTTTCCCTCCCTTTTGTAGAGTGCAAGCTGAACACACAGATGGCCAATGTCTGTGCACTCATGAATTGACATGACAAGAGGATGGCCTGAGGTCTTGGTGGTGGCTTGACTTTGCACTGGCATTCCAGTTGTTGTGTGACCTTGGGCAAACTACATAACCTCTCTGGATCTGTTTTCCTCCCTCAATTTGAAAGGGCTCTTGATGAAGTGATCACTGGGAGAAACGGAAGGACAAATTGGGGTCTAGTACTTACCTTTTGGAAGGCAGTAGGGGTGCCCCAATGCACTGTTCTGGTGATATCTGTGGTTCCATCCCTGTGGAAAAAGGGAACTAGCACATCCGACTCTATGGAGCACTCAGGAGGAGGGGCCAGGACCGTGTGCTTCCTGTATGTTTTCTTCTTTTTGTTTTTTCTACTGGGGTTTGAGTGACCGGCTTGAGCAGGGCATGGTAGGAAGCAAGAGAGAGAGAGAACCAGGCATGGTGGTGGATGCTTGTAACCCTAGCACACAGGAGGTTGAGGTAGGAACACAAGCAAAAGCCAGCTTGTGTTCCACAGTGAGATAATGTTAGAAAAATAGAAGGAAAGGATGGCTGGCAGGGAGTAGGGAAGGAGGGAGGATAGGTACCACCATCAGAATTACACCGCAGCATCCATGCACCAAAGAGACTTAGCAGAGTTCTTAATGGTAAAAGTTGCTATGTTCAGGACATTGTCTGTTTTTTTTTTTTAAAATAAATTACAGATGGGGAGGACTGAGGTTCAGAGAAGTGACATTATCCTAACACGCCCACAATCACTGCCATTTACCATCTATAGGAACTTCTGCAGCTCCCCAGATGACAGCAGAGCAGGCCTCTTTATGAAAGAGTCATTAGGCTATGAGGCCATCTCCATCCCTAAGATTTGGTAAAGCCTGGCTGGAGAAAATGCTGACTCCTTATAAGATGTTTTTTGCTATGAACATTGCTTAGAAGTCCACTGAACTGAAGCCAGAAGTATCAGGTTCAACTCACAGTCACTAGTTGTACTGGTTCCCCCAGGCTGGCACTAAGCATACCCATCCCAGGGCTCTGGGGCTTCTTGAGAGTAGGTCATGGGGCATGGGGAACTTCTTCCTCAGGAGAGAAGAGGAAGTGAGGTGACTATTTCCCTACCTTACCCTCTTCTGAGCATGCGCCAACCCAATACGCCCCCACAAATTCACTTCCTCTTTCTTTGCGGCCTTCTCAGGTTCACACAGTATCAAACTAATGGTAAGTACAGGCTGCTAAACTTAGCACATGGCAGGCTGGCTCCCCAAGAGGTATGCTATGAACAAGAGCCTCTGTCCTTAGTTCAGTTACCCTTTCCACAGGATAGAAACCCGATGACACTGAACGATTGGCCACACATTTTGAAGGAATACAGTTAACTTATTCAGTATGACTGTCACATCGGACAGTTTAGGTTGACACTGTACAAGAGAATCACATCTAAAGGGTTACTTCTTTCATCTGCCTCCATCTCCAGCCTCACATGGTCGATTATCTTGCCACAGGGAATGAGATGGGTCTGATGGCTTGGATGCAGGCTGAGTCTAGGGCTTGCATGAGTGGGTGAGAAAATGGGAGTTCATGTTTGTGCAGCCAGGCAGATCTGTGTAAATAATTTGCAGACTTGAAAAAATTATTTAAGCAACTAGAGTCTTTTCCTAATTCCCACACAGGTGCTGCATGAGTGCTCCCATTATTCTGATCTCTGTGTGTTTTCTACTGTGCAGGCACCCCCAGTGGGAACATGAGGGGTCTGCTCAGGGCTTCTTCAATACAGGTCTGTGCTTCAATCAAATGAAGACCTATGACCTAGGAAAGCCAGCTTTAGTCAGCCTCTGGAAGCCCAGGATGTATGAGCTGAGAGCTAGGCCAAGGCATGATGGGATGGACGGACATACCAGTACTGCCCTCCAGAATCCACCAGGTACATCTCATCTGAGGACAGCTTGCGGTGTAGATCCTTGGTCGGGCTGGGAATAAGAATGAACACTGAGAGAGGAGATCTGAACCCTGCACTGGGAAAACAGGGCAGACACAAGGATGAGGGCTGAGGAGAAAGAGCATGCCCTCTGCTCTCTGCTCTGGGGAAATAGTTATCTCCCAAAGGATCCCAGGAAAGCACTTGGCTCTAACTGCAGCTACTGTCCACAACACACTTCTGTTTATCCTGCATGTGGATAAAGACTTTGGTCCCCAGGGAGGGGAGGTAAGAGTCTCAGAGGCTACTTGGTTCAGCCATCTCTACTCACAAAAGAACAAGCCAATAGAGGCAGGAGCTTGCAAGAGACCCACAGCAGAGCAGAGAGGTGCTGGTCCTGAGTGCGCTCTCTCTCTCTCTCTCTCTCTCTCTCTCTCTCTCTCTCTCTCTCTCTCTCTCTCTCTCTCTGAGGGACTTCAAGGATAGGTCTGGAGAACAATATTTTAGAGGACTGAGGTATACCTACTCTGCCACTCTCTATTTCCCATAGGCGAGGCTCTGGAGGAGGCATCAGAGAAGGGAATTCTCAGATATGCTAGGTCTTTCTCTGGAGGGCATCTGACTCCCTTTCTGTCATGTCCAGGCCAACTGATAGATCTGCTCAGCTTGGCCCTCCAAATTTTATCAGGTAGGCCTACTGTGGTTTGTTTTCTATGGGACCAAGTATCTGAACTAACTTATATTCTTGACTTATTATGGTTGGTAGAGGTTAAGTGGACAGGCCTTTCTCTGTGGGGTCTTATGTGGTATTCATGTCTGCATTTGCAAAGCTCACCCAGAAAGATCACAAGTTCTTGGCCAGCCTGAGCTACAAAGCAAAACCCCATCTCAAGCTAGGTGTGGTGGTGTATACCTGTAACCCAGCACTTACGAGGTAGAGGCAGGAAGATCAGGAGGTAAGCCCTAATCTCGACTACATAGTAAGTTTGAGGCTAGCCTGGGCTACATGAGAACTTGTCTCAAAAGAAAACAATAAAACTATCTCAGACAAAGGGATACCAGAAATAATTCAGAAAAAGAAGAAAGCTTTTAACAGCATCTATGCTTTCCTTAAACCTTAAAGACCCCAGAACACCCAAGCACCAAGTCCCAGCCTTTTAGGGATAAAAGCCACCCTCTGCCTTTTAAAAAGTAGTTCATTCCTTGACCACCCATGGTCCTGAAGGCCCCAAAACCCTAAATGTTGACCCAGAGCATTCCCTTTCCACCCCAGTCCCTCTATAGTCACAACCATGACCCCTGCTCACAAGTACTCTAGAAAATTCTTTGTTCTGAAGTACCTGTAATGAGCCAGTGCAGCATTCAGGCCACTAGCAGAGATGGTTTCAAAACTGGGTCCAGAGGAAAAGTTTTCATTCCTAAGCAGGACAAGGTAAGGAATGATCAGAGAATGGTCCAGAGATGAAGCCGTGACAGAGATATCTTTTACAGCAAATAAAGGTCCAGCTACCTTTACCCAAGCCTGACTCCATCTGCCTCTCCAAGTCCCATCTCCCCCAGCTCTGGCCTGTCACGGTAGACAGAGCACTCAAGTACAGGAAGAATAGACCATAGTTACCAATTCTTGGCCCTCTGCCTCCATTTTACTTGTGGGAGAGAAGAAAGGTAGTTAGTTCCCTGTATCTGAAAAACATCCTATCTGTGTGCTATGTCTTGGACCTCAAACCTAGATGGTACCACAAGCTACCTCAGGAAGCCTTCTCCCAACCAGAAGCTCCCAAGAGCTCCAGAGCCCCTCGCCCCCACCCCCACCCCGCCTTTAAGCTACGTCTACGGTAGTCGCTAGGGGGTGCTGTTGGGTTGTCCTGTTTTCCACAGGGCCAGGGAATGTCTTGCAACACCCCCTGCACAGCTCCCAGACCACCCACGAACCTGTCAATCTCACTTCCAAATACAAGCAGGATCTTTCTTCCTCCTAAGGGGACTAATTACTCCTTGCTCCCATCCTCCCATCCCCCCCCCCCCCCGCGTGCACCAAAAAGATAATAAGTCCAGTACCGTCGCAACTCATCAATGTGTTTTGCCCCAGAAAACTCATCTACCGTGCCTTTGGGCACGTTCTTCTCCAGCCAGACCAAGTACTGGATCACAACCACAGCATCTCGCACCTGAATCAGGAAACACAATGGTGACTGAAGTGAGCCAGAGTGGCTGCCTTCTCACTCAGGGAAGATCAGATAGCTGCCCTGGGATTGAGTGCTTTAAAAACATGACGATTTTACTAGCTACTGGATAGCAGAGGATTCTCGTTAATGTTTATATCTAATCAGAGTGTGTGCATGTTTTTAAAAGCTTTCTTATCTTTAAAAATAGTTACTGAAGCGCTGACGGCCGAAACGATGGGATATGTGGGATTTGTTTTAAAATAATCCAGCAGCAAGGATTGGGAGGGGAGGGTCATGCATGGGAGGAGGTGTTTACAGATGAAAGAGCATCGGTATGACTCGATGATTGTGGAAGCTTGGTAATGGGGACAGCTGGAGTTTAAGCTATTTTCTCTACTGTAGTGTATGCTAAAATTGTTTCTTAAGGAAAAGTCTTTCAAAAATTATGTCCTTTATCCTAATGTTAAGAATATTCTAAAAAGTAAGCTATCCTCTTGCCTGGCAGGAAATCATTACAGGTAGCACTTACTAACACAGGCAGTGTTCAAAGTAATGCACATCACCTCATCTAAATATCTACACAGCTATACAAGTTATAAACATAGATATTTGTTGTACATTTCGTGCTTTCGCTTTGAGTCTTCTTCAGGCTTCTCCCTGGAAGGTTAACCCATCAGATCTCCCAAAAGGCCATGCCATGGGGACTTTGGGGACTTACATGGCTGGCCTTCAGGAGGGCCTGTTCCCTGCTGTTCTTCACAGCCTTCAGTAGCATTACTGGGGAGTAGGCCTGTGTCACCAATTTCTCCTGTTGGAAGCACCAAAAGACGGACTAGAAGCACCATTCAAGATGAGCAGTGTTTACAAAGGACAGAGAGGACGCAGCTGGGGTGAGACTGTGAGACTTGCTGATCTCTTTCATGGCCATGCCCTCTCCTTTGGCTACTTTCTGGCTACTCCTTTGGCAGGTCTTTCCTCGCCTCCCGAATGCAAATTTCCATGATGAATATTGTCCTAGTGCCAGCAGTCAGGCCTGGCATGCTATAGTCAACAGGCTGTTCTAGCACCATGAGTGTCTTGTATGTATCAGAGCAGTTACCAAATCCCACACATGTTCTATGTAAGCCACTGGATTTCAGAATGACTATCTCCTAGAACTGTAATTGTTCGAATTCATTGCTATTTTAAAGAAACAGAGATCTAGATTGAATGAGCCATTTATCTAAGGTCACATGCATGGCTATTTAGGAAAAGAGCTCCTGTCAGTTTCAGTCTCGGCTGACTCTAAAGCTTCTTTTAGATTAGGCTGTATTTTGTCTAGCTTCTGTGGCTGTCCAGGCTCTGTGGACAGACGCCCTTGCCGCCGCCGCCTCCTCCTCCTCCTCAGTCTTCTCTCAGTGAGGACTACAAGGGTACACAGTACACATTTGCTGACTGACTAGGTGGCTCAGTGGCTGAGGGACCCCATTTTAAGTTGACAGTTGTCATTCCTGGAGCAGAAGGTGGTCAGTGACTGGCAAACCTACTTTGGGTATCACTTCGTAGAGCCCATAGGTGGTATATCTGAGCCCAATCAAGATCGTTACATTGCCTGAGGCATAGGCCTTCACACTGTCACGAATTTGACTGTAGTCCTCGAGCTGCACACACATGGATGATGTGCACATTGTATTCAGGTACTGCAGGGTCTCGAGGCTAAAGCGACTCTTGTTGACAAACAACCTAGTGGAGAGGGAAGACAGGGAAGGGACCTGAGTGCCTCCTTACTGAGGACAACACAAGAGACCAGAGGCATATACCAGTCTTTTGTTTCCAGAAGTCACAGGAAGCCAGCATAGAGAGCCAAAAGTCAAGTGGGACGTCTCCTAGAGAAGTCTGCTGTGACAGGCCCCCAAAGTCATGAGCACCTGAGGGTTGTGAGGCCGGTGGTACCGGGTAGGGTGAGGTTGGGAGAAAGTCACAACAGTAAGCCCAGGAGAAGCTGTACCTGATAGACGAGTCCGTGAGCAGTGTGTAGGAGTAGAAGAAAGGGTTATAGGGGATGTCACTACTGCGAAGGTTGAAGAGCCCTAGGAAAAAAAATGAAACAGGGAGACTTTTGGAAGCCATTCTGCAAGGGGACAGGCATTTCTGACACCCATGCCCCCCCCCCCGTTTGCTTTGGCCTCAAGATTACTTCTGGTATTTGCCTCTGATTGCATCTCAATCTTCTTAGGGATGATTGAGATGCCGAAGAGAGCAATGGGTGTCTCCCCCATAAAATGTAGCTAGGTGACATTCAGCACACAGTATTGGTGCAGCCTCCAAATGTCTGAAGCCCGGACATAGGAACTGAGGAGAAGGCCCTCATCCATGTGGGGACAGAGTAGGGCTACTCTGCATGTCAAAGCTGGGACTTTGAGTGACCTAGATAACAGCCAGGGCTGTTGGTGGCTCTCCAGGCCTTCTTCTCCCTAAGGAGACAGAATCGCTGTATTATTCTGGTCAGTCCGTTTCTCAAGTGGCCTGTGGGCTTGCCCCACTTGCTTGGAGCTTCCTGGCCTCCTCATTTTGCAGATGTGAGCAGCTGCTTTCTGATCCCTCTTAGTTCCCATGGGCCATGACCATGGAGATCATAGCAGCTGGTGAGTATGCTGTTATTTCAGGAGGAGCTATATGCTGCATAGCACCCACTTGCATTCGTAAATCCCCACTTACAGGCTGTCTCATCAAGTGCTGATAGAAGGAGACCAGTTGGAGCCATGGTATGGTTCTTCATATAGCTTCGGATGGTGGATACTTTTTCTTGCCAAGTGCTCCCTAGAAGCAAAGGAACCCCCCCCCCCAAAAAAAATAAAAGTCTGAGTGACACACCTTGTCTTTGGTACAGGGCTCCTGGGAAACTCCAGAAGGGTAGTGGTTTTCCTTTATTTCTGGTGGAGGAGATGAAACCAATGGCCTTGAACTTTGGCCAAGTGGCTCTATGACTGCACTACTACAGCTTTCTATGCTTCCAAAAGCAGTAGAATTCTATCTTCAAACACTTGTATTATTAATGATGTGGGCCTTGGGCCCAGATGGGGCTCCAGTAATCATTCTGCCATTAGTAACTAGGTGTGATCTTGGGCGAATTACTTGACACCTCTATGTCTCATTTTGCACATCTGTTAGATGAGGGTGGGTAATATCTACCTCAGTAGGTTTGCTACAAAGATCAAATGGGTTGACATTTATAAAGCTGTAGAAAAAATATTCACTAGGTCTTACACTGCTTCTTTTGACCTGTCATTAAACATAAAGAAAGGAGAGTTGCTCTCCATGGGCAAAGGAAGAGAGTAACTGGGAGAGAGTACTGTCCTGCAGTAACTCCAGCACTCAATAAGCCATAGATATTGGACTAGGTACATCTTGTACATTGTTTTAATTCTTATATTTTTGGTTGTGAGCCTAGCCTTTAATGGCTGAGCCATCTCTCCAGCCTGCATTGTTTTAATTCTTACAGGCACCATTTTACAGACAAGGAAAGTGAGGCTTCAGAGAGGTAAATCAGTTGCCCAGTGTTTCAGAGCTGAAGGGATAGAGCTGAGATTTGAACTCGTGTCTGTGTGATGGGCCTGGCCCATAGTCCTAATCTGCACAAATACTGAGCTCTCCTATTAGCCTTTTCAGTCTTCTAGGTGGTCTTCAAACTTTGTCCAGTACTGTCCTTTTTTAGAATGCATATATCTGGGTTCCAGGAGTTCAGTTTTCATCTCCTGTTTCTGCCTTTTCCAAGGCATATCAAGTTTCTCTCTAGACAGCACTAGAAAAAAATTGGCAGAATGTCATGCGCATCAAGACTCCTGCTTGGGCCCAGATACAGAAATGATAACTTAATGCTATTAAAAACTTTATGCAAATGGGTAAAACTACTCAACTAGAACCAAAAGCTTTGGATATTTATACTTTTAGGCTTATTTTATACTGATATAACAGACACAATATAAAATTTATCATTTTAACCTTTGTAAAGTACACAATTCAGCTGGCTTTCAGTATATTCATAGTATTGTGCAACCACTGCCAGTATCAAATTCTAAAACATTTTCATCATCCCCAAAGGAAACCTTGTACCCATTAAGGAGTCACTCCCCATTTCCTCTCCTTCCAGCCCCAGGAAATCACTAATCTATTTTTTGTCTCTATGGATTTGCCAATGCTGGGTGTTTTCAGATAAATGGAATCATACTAGATGTGGCTGCATTCACTTAAAATTATGATTAAAATTCATGAGTATTACTTGGTATTATGACTCATGACTCTACTCCTAGCACTTGAGAGGCTGAAACAGGAGGGTCACCATAAGTTTGAGACCAGATTAGGCAATATAGGAAGTTTAACGTCAGCCTAGGCTACAGAGTAAGACCCTGTCTCAAAAACAAAACAGAATACCCCAGCAACTTATAACTCACAAAAAGAAACATATGTGAATATGATCCATTTTGAGAAAACAAAATCACACAACTGGTCTGATGTGTGAGTAGCTAACTTGTCACATGGCAGTCTTTGCCTTTGCCTCTCCACACCATCTTTAAAGTGTATACATAGAGGAAAAAGCCCTCAGCCATGTGAGGACAGAATAAGCTTACTCAGGGTGTCAAAGCTGGGCGTTTGAATGACCCAGATGACAACTGTGTCTGTTGTGTATGTATATGGATTGTTTTGCCTGCATGTTGTCTGTGTATCACATGTATGCAATGCTTGTGCAGTTCAAAGATGGCTGTGAGTTGCCATGTGGGTGCTGGGAATCGAACCCATATCCTCTAGAAGAGCAAGCAGTACTCTTATTGTTGAGCCCTCTTCAGAATCATACCACTCTGCCCACCCCCCAATTTCTTAAGAGAGAAGGCCCATGAAATAGGGAAAATTCACTTTTGTCTAGCCATGAAGCTTAACTCTGACTCCCTTTTCTTTGAAGATTAGTGATGCCTCAGCATCTCCTAATTCATGGGAAGTGACAAAATCCTTGTGAATTCTGTCCCAATCCCTGGTAGCCGTTTTTCAAAGCCCTTTTAGCCTCACATTCCCTTGGCACCATGATGGCCTTTGATATCCGAGGAAGGTGAGTGTTTTTTTATGATCAAATCCTCATAGATAGCCAGTCTCTTTAAAAACCAAGTCCAGGGTGTGCACAAGTGACACTGTTTCTCCTTGTTTCATCATAGCCACAATTTTGAAATTCTCCACTCCACCCCACCCCCACAGTTTTCTTGGTCCCTTTCTAAATCAGAAATAATATGTGGAGTTGTATGTGGAAAGGGGTTTCTCAGATTGCACAATGTGACAAGAAATGCAACTCCACTGACCCATTCAGAATTTCCAGGGAGGTGAAAGTAGTCAGTGACCAAGACCCCGATTCGTAATAGGTCCCCTAGCCCTGGTCAGTAATTGCTTAAAAGAACCATAATGTAAACTGATCTTTTATATCAGATTAAGATAGTGTCAATGATGTCATGGTTACAGACGCTAGAATTTTCTGGGTCAATTAACCTATTTTGAGGTCCAGCCAAAATCTGAACCCTCTCTTGTGCCACAGACTGACATTGAACTTAGTCATTGACTTCTGTCTAAGTGTGTCATGTCCTAAATCTAAACTCCTTATTGGAGTAGAACCAGAAGTAAAGGGCCAAATGACTCAACCAGTTTCTACTACCAGATAAACAACTAAGTACAAGGGCCTTCCCTCTTAAGAAAGTATTTTTTGGGGTGACAGCTGAAGAAGGCTCAGCAGTTAACAGTATTGGTTGCTCCTCTAGAGGATATGGGTTCGATTCCCAGTACCCACATGGCAACCCACAACCATCTGTAACTCCAGTCCCAGGGTATCTGACACCCTTTTCTAGACTCCATGAGCACTGTATGCATGGGTCACATAGACAACATGCAGGCAAAACATCCATACACATAAAAAAAATAGAACTGAAGTCACAAGAAACCAAAATCAAACAAATAAAACAAAACCTGAGACATTATTTTTTTTAAGAAAGGTGGTTTTGTTGTTGAACTTTTCTTCAGCTGTCTTTTCCTCCCTTTCTGCTGTCTCTTTCTTCAAAACCTAATACTGCTCATTTCAGTATTTTCTAAAAATAGTCTGAGTACCTTTGAACTCTGTGAGGAGACAGAGACAAAGAAATTCTACATTTTAACCAAGCATCTCAGATAGTTTGTCAACCATTACTTTGTTGCCTTAGTTAGTGACATTTTCAGGGGGAAAACAAAAAAAAAAAAAAAAAAAAAAAAAAAAAAAAAACCAGGCAGCCTCACCCTGGGAGGGACCCTTGTTTGTACTGATTGGGAAGGACAATAGGCTTATGGAATCACCTGTAAATTCTTCCGGCAGGGCATAAATGGGTTGGCTTGGCACTGGGGGCCTCTCCGACCCCCATGCCAGGTCCACAAGGTTGGTTGTGATGGATACCAGTTGTCTGTTGGAGTCTTGTAATTGCAGATTATAATCCTCCCAGGAATCTGCAGAGACAGGAAGGAGTCAAGGGAAACTCTACCTGCCCAAAGCCTACCCTAGGCTCTGGCCCTCTGAAAATTGTATCTCTTCTTCACAGCCTGTCTCCCACCTGTCTTTTTCTGTTTTCCAAATTTAATTGTCATACTCCCACCTTGATTCTGTCCACTGTCAACTAGCTAATCTTGCCTTCCTTTGACCCACCCCCAGTCCAGCACTAGGGATTGAACCCAGGACCTTGTGGATGCCAGACAAGTATTCTACCACTGCACTATACCCCGACCCTAATCTGGTCATTTTAAATTGTCAGTAATTGGGGACCAAAATATTTTTATTAGAAATTATTGTCACCATTCAGAGGAAGAGTGATGTCCAGGGCTTTGGATAAGTTGTTGTTCTTTGTTTTTTGTTATTGTTTTTTTTTTCAAGACAAGGTTTCTCTGTAGCTTTGGAGCCTGTCCTGGAACTAGCTTTGTAGACAGGCTAGCCTCAAATCACAGAGATCCACTTGCCTCTGCCTCCCAAATGCTGGGATTAAACGAGTGTGCCACCAATGCCCGGATTAGAAAATGTTTTTAAAGAGATCCCAAGTACCATAATTGTTGGTGTCCCAGGACTCAGGGATGGCTCTGGGGTCAAGAACATACAGACCTACTTATCCACTGGATCTTAATGATATCAAGTCTTCTAGGTTGGCTTTCTGCATTATTTTGGTAAAGTTTGTATTTGTTTTTTAAGCATATGTTAATTACACAGTTCATGAATCTCTTTTTGTTGTAAAATATTTCTATAGCCATATTGGCCCTCTTTCTAAGCAAATATATTCGTATACCTCCCAGGAGGCAGAGCCACCCTCCTTAATAGCTCAAACAAATCCAGAGACTGAGAGTAAAACATACCAACAGAGAAAAGGAAGGGGTCGAAGCCCACATGACCTCCAGCAGGGACTTCAGCAAGGATCCAGGTGACAATGGACGAAATGCTAACTAAAAGATGGGAGGGAATACAAAAGTCACTTCCCAGATCAGCATCAGACCCTATAGCCAGACTTTTGTCTGTGACAGTCCTGCTACATGTGTTCTTAAAGATCAGAGATGCCCTCATATTTCCTGAACTTCCAACAGTGAGTTGCAGACAACCACTCACCTGTATTTCCCCAAACCTAGTCTAGGGGACAATCCATGTGGGCCTTCTACCTTCCTTATGGAGTTCCCAGTTGCAGTCCATCTGCCTCTCAGCCTGAGTCCAGTATCGACTATCAGTCCAGACAGCTGCTTTCGCCATGGTCACCACCGCAGTACCTACAGCAGAGCAGAGAAGTCTAGAGGTGAGGATGAAGATGAAAGTGAGGGCTGTGACTTTGTTGGGTGTGGAATGTTGTACTCGCTCTGTCACAAGGGCCTCTAGTATGAGCTTGTCTCCTCCATTGGAAGAGGTAGGAGATGTTAAGGGCACACTTGGGGGAAAATCTACAATGAGAGTTCCTCCAGCAAAGCAGCTCTCTTTTGTGATGTAGGTCCCTAAAGAGGGCCTTTAGAACTTTTAGTAGGAAAAAAGTCTGGCTTCCGCCAATCCAAAGAAGCTAATGCTGTACATGGGTGAAATTCTCAGGAAAGATGAGGGCTGATAAAGACATCAAACTAGGTGCCTATCTGTGGATTGGTAGGGAAGACAAATACAACAACTGTGCTAGGGAGAATAAGGGCTTGCAATGGGGGAGGCAGAGCCCCTTCAGGCTCAAGAAAGAATGTGTGAGGATCAACAGAGGAAGCTGCCTGTACTTAATGGGACAGGATCAGAACAGGAGGGCCCTTCAGAAATGGAGACATCAATAAGAGCCTCCATTTGACCATGTAGAGAGATGTTGTCTATAAAAAAGATCCGATAAAGTAAAACCTTATCCCTAAATGAGCTAGTATGTAAAAGAAAAACAGGTTTCTTGTCAATAGATGTGGAAATAGCAATTGCTTCAGAAACCAGGTCCAGGGAGCTCTGTTCTGGACCTGGCTGTGGCCGAGGCAGAAAAGCATGGGAAGGAAGCCAGGAGGGCCAGCTCCTATGCAGAAGTGTGGTCATAGGGGCATGAGACATTTGACCTGGGGAACATGCTGGGTTCATGGGGGCGGGAAGAATGAGAATGAACACCAGCCTTTGGTCCTGGTTGCTAAGGAACTGGCTATAGCAGGTCTTCTATGATCAGGGTAGGTCTACCAACAGAAGCAATGTGAGTGGGGAGTGGCTGTTACCTGCAGAGCCTGTGAAGCCTGAGATCCATGCTCGCCTCTCATCATGTTTGCCAATGTACTCACTCTAGGAAATCAACAACACCATCAACTTTCTTCGTAGAGTCAGATGCCAAGGGGTCCCAAATACATCTTGGGTTTTTCCTGTCTTGCCATACCTGGCATTTCTTCCCAGGAAAGTCTCTGTACCTCCTTCAGCATACTATCTTCTTTACTTTTCAAAACCTTTCTCTTGGGGGTGTTAAGCCCACTGGACTAGGTTATACTAGATTGTTCTGCAATATTTACTGCCATGGTCATAATGTAAATCCAGTATGGTCTTGGGCCATTCCTTTTGGTATTCTCCTTCAAATAGCATGCCTTCCTCCAGAGTCTATTTATTATATTATATTGGGTATTTCATTAATAACTTCTCCACCAGGTTTTATACACTCATTGGCCAGTTAGACATCCATATTCATGAATTCTGTATTTGCAAATGCTATTAACCTTGTCCTTGGTCAAAAATATCAGAAAAATTGGACAGTATTTGGTATATGTTTTTATTGTCATTATTCCCTAAGTAAAGCAGTTTGGTAACATTTATATAGTATTTAAATTGTATTGGGCATTATAAGTCTTCTAGAGATGATTTAAAGCATATGGAAGGTTATGAATAGATTATATGCAATTACTATGTCATTTTTAAAAAAGATTATTTATTTATTATGTATACAGTATTCTGTATGCATGTATGTCTGCATTCCAGAAGAGAGCACCAGATCTCATTACAAATGGTTGTGAGCCACTATATGGTTGCTGGGAATTGAACTCAGGACCTCTGGAAGAACAGTCAGTGCTCTTAACCTCTGAGACATTTCTTCAGCCCTCACTATTTCATTTTATATAAGGGAGTTGAAATATTCTTTTAGACTATAGATACCAGGAGATGACTTTATGTTGCTTTCTCATCCTTGAAGATATATCATTGTTATTTTTGCTTGAAGGAGCTCAGATACTTAGTCAAACTTCTTAAGCATCCCAGCAGGTCAGAAATGCCTTTTCTTCTAGCTGAGTTGATGTGAGGAGCTAGATGAGGTAGAGGCTGAGCTACTGGTGGGGAAAGGTAGGCTGGATAGGCAGCACTGCTATTTGGGGAAAAGTGGGTCTTATATAGACAGCCACCTTATTTTATGTCTGCTCTCTCCTCTCGGTCTACTTTCCACACTTGCATAATCTAGCACCCTGGGTCATTTCACTGCTCTACTCAGCAGGGTCTGAGATAGCCTGGACCAGGAGGGAGCTTAGAATTTCAGGCCCATTTATAGTGATACCCCAAACATTCTTTATGGAGTTGTCATCTGGGAAGTTGTCAAAATCTCTTCTGAAGTTGTTTTAATTTTAAACATTGTGTGTGTGTGTGCGTGCACGCCATCTCCCTAGCCCCAAAGTTGTTTTTATAATATAATTTCTAGAGGTCAATAAAATTTGGCCCCATTTTTCCTCCAATGAAAAGAGGTTTGTTCTTTCAGTTGACCTTAAACTAGTGTATGTGTACTTTCCATTTTCATCCTTTCGGCTGTGAAATGCTTTCTCTGTCTTCAGCCTCCAAGTCTTGCTAGCCTCTTGTTTGTGGCTTGTGTTTAGAGGTCAACAAGCCCAAGTATAGGAGAAAGAGAGGGCAAAAGAGAATAGAGCTGGTCCTTACCATGTGTGCATCTGTGTCTGGGATGATGTAGGCAGAAAGATTCCAGGCCTTCATCTGCTGGCGGAGGGCTGCAAGCTGTATTGTTGTATTGACTGCAGTAACTGGCAGGTGCTGACAGATAACAGGAAGACACCCAAACATAAGCATTGCTTAAAGAAAATGATATCCAGGACTTTGCCTCTAGGGGAGGCCCCAGATTCTCCTGAGGGTGAGTTTAGGGGTATTTAGGCTATATTTAAGAGTCTTGGGGTCGCCAAACGGTAGTGGTGTATGCCTTTAATCTCAGCGTTTGAGAGGCACAGGCAGGTAGATCTCTGTGAGTAAGGCCAGCCTGGTCCACAGAGAGAGTTCCAGGATAGCCAAGGCTACAAGAGAAACCCTGTCTTGAAAAACAAAAAGAAACACAAGAATGATGGTCTCAGCCATGTGTAGTGGCTGAGGCAGAGGCAGGTGGATCTCTATGAGTTCAAGGACAGCCTGTTCTATACAGTGAGACCCTTTCCCAAAAAGAAAAAAAAAAGGTGTGTGGAGGGAATGGAGTGGCTGTGGATAGTATTTGTTCATATAAATTAAGAAGCCTAAGTTAGATAGAGATGGAGGTATTGTAGAGCTTGAAAAAAGACCTTTTGTGACAATTAAAGGGACAGGAATGTCCACTGGATGTGTGGACATCCCTGGTCCTAGCTGAGGTATGGGTAGACCCTTTGGGATATCTTGAGAGTACAGTTACCAGATTTAAGGAACAAAAATACAGGCCACCTATCTGGCTAGATTTGACTTTCAGTAAAGCAAGGGATCATATATTTTCCCTTTTCACCATTTTTATTTCTTTTATATACCAACTACAATTTCCTACACCCCCTGCCTCCTTCCTACTCCCCCATCCATTCCTCCTCCATCTCCACTTTGATGGGTAAGTCCTCCCATGGGAATCAATAAAGCATGGCACATCAAGCTGAGGCTGGACCAAGCTCCCCACCAAGGGACCATATTTTAATATTAGTATGTTCCATAAACTATGTGGGGAACACTTTAATACCAAACTATTATCACCTGAAATTTAAATGAAATCAGGTGTCCTGTTTTTCATCAAGCAACTCTACTTTTCCAGTAGTTATCTATTGACCCCAAATAGTTCCGGACAGTGAATGAATACCCCTGCATTTGTGACATCTGCCAGAAAGATTCTCTTCAAGCCAGGTATTTCTTTAGAGGGACTTTCATCTTTCAAATGAAAAACCATGCTTTTTTCTTGTCTGTTTTCTTTGCCTCATCATCAACAAGAAATCTTGATTTGTTTGAATATGAAAATGCTGTGGCTTACATATCTGCTTGCTGGTCCTAGTGGTCCTATAAAGTTGCTATTACATGCAGATGTTTTCTGTGTTTATCCTGTGGCTCAGACTACTACTGGAGCTCACCTACTTCTTCACATTTTGGAGCCAACTCCTGCCCAGACTTCTTTACCCTCTGTAGTTGTGGAGACAATCACTTCAGAGGCAGCTGTGAAACTGGCCATATTCTTCCCTTTGGCTCCCGTTTGCCAACCTCTGCCTCCCTCTTTTGCCTTTCAGGTAGATCTTCCAGTTAGTTCACTGGTTTCCTCCCTTGATCCTTTAGGCTTCCTTCAGTTTCCCTCTAGGACATCGGTTCTCAACCTGTTGGTTGTGACCATTGGAAAACAAATATTTATGATGGTCTCAGGAAGCCACAACCATACATTCTCATTGCTGCTTCATAACTGTAATTTTGCTACTGACTAGTACCTCAGTTCCTAACACCATTGCAAATAAGTTTTCGAATAATCGTCGTGACCCACAGCTTAAGAACCACTGCTCTAGAATTGCTATCATTCCCTCATTTCCTTCCTTGATTTTGCCTAGCCTTAGTTAAATGCCAGCTAGTAGTCTCTCTCATCATCCATCTTCTTTGCCTCCCTCCTCATGAAAGCTTCCCAGCCCCAGGCCAGGGCAGAAGCCAACAAGCTATGGAAATCAGTGGATCTAAGGAGTGGAGCACCCATATTGGGTATGTTAGATACCTGAGTCACTGCTAATAGACTTTAAAAAGAAACAGGGGTCCCCAGAGTGCAGAAATCAGAAGAAAGCCTATAGTAGAAGCTAGCAACTGGGTCAATAGGGGATGGAGAAAATGATGGGTGGGTGGGGTATGTGGGGTGGGGCCATGGTCTCACCGGAGGGTTGGTTGAACAGTTTCTCACATCTTCTCTTCCAAGGTACCCAGGTTGTGGGTAACTCCAGGCACATGCTAGGAAGTAGGAGACAAACCTAGGGTTATTCAGGGACCAGAGAGCTCTCACAGAGTGAAGGGACATCTTCCCTTAGCCCGCAGGAGCTGTATGCTTTGAAACAGACCATGCTGGCCAACTCTACTTGAGACTAAAAATAATCATATCTCATGGGAAATCAGGCTAAGCTGGATGGCACCCTGGGTCATGCTGACTGACAAGTGATTGCCACTTTTGGATGCATTTGTATTCATTATATCATTTTTTTCTTCTAATCTAATTGTGTCTTTTCAGGGTCTAGTAAAGTGGGAAAATTGAATAAACTAAAATTTTAAATCAAATTTTCTTTGAAATGCCCTAGAGGGGCTTGATAAATAATCTCCTCCACTTTCCTGTGTGTGTACACGGATGATCTATTTAAATTCAAGGGTCACTTAAAGCCTTTCTTACAGTCCCAGTCTCTGCTCACTATTCTAGCCTTTGATTGAATATAATACAGCAGTGCCTCCTAGTCCAACATCATCACCTGGTGGGGAAAGTCGAATAAACCCTACTGTGTGCCAGATGTGGAATTCAGTAATTTGCAACTGAGCAGAGCACTGTATGCCTGTATTACCAATGCTGGGGAGGCAGAGGTAGGAATTCAAGATTACCTTTGACTATGTTGCAAATTTGCAGGCATCCTGAACTACATGAGAGCCTGAATTATCAAAAGATAATATAGAACCAAGTAAAAATCAGCTCAGCAACATATAACTGCTACAAATCATCAGCCACGTGACACTATTGAGGTCAATTGAGATCAACCAAGGCCTACAAATGTAACAATGACCCCCATAGTATAATATAGTCTACTGCCATTAAAGCCACCTGAGTTTTTTAGAGTACATTCCAAGTTGTCATGTAACAAAAAAACATTGCCTAATGGTGTATTTCCCAGAATGCAGTCCCATTGTCAATTGGCCACAACTGTATCTCCTCTGACAGTTGTGACAACCCTATGAGAAATGCATGATTACTCATCTTCTATAATGGAAGAAGCCAAGGTCCAGGTAGGTTTCATAATTTGTTTAGGTTTTGCCACAGTGAATCAGCGTTTAGATGGAGATTTGAACCCAGGCCATCTAAGGAGAGGGCAGAGGGTGGCATGGGCAGTGGGGATCAGTGGCAAAGCATTTGCATACTTCAAAAGATTAAAAACTCTCCTGTTTTAGTTCTTAGCACCACCAAAGAAATAGGGGTTCCCTTTCCAGCAAGCATAGGAAGTGGTTCTGGATAGTGGGGGCGGGGAGCACAAAAGGGCCACCGTATACAGAGATCTAGTTTCCAGCTTGGGCTCTCTACCAAATTCGGTATGATCCTAACAAAGTACCCTACCCCATACTGGGTGGTGGTGGTGATAGCAGAGCAGCGCAAGCCTTGAATTCCAGCTCTTGGGAGGCAGAGGCAGGAAGATCTCTGTGAGTTCGGGGCCAGCCTGGTATACAGAGCTGGTTCCAGGACAGCCTCCAAAGCTACAGAGAAACCCTGTCTTGAAAAACCAAAAAAAAAAAAAAAAAGCACCCCACTATTCACTGAACATATGTTTTTTTTAAAATACCTACATGCCTACTGTGTTCCAGGCACTAGGCTATGTCTCTTAGCTCTGGGGCTCTGTAAAGGAGGCTTGGATTAGAGATCCTTCCTGGCTGACAGTCCAATGAACTCTTAGAGTCCCTCTTTCCGTCTTGACTCTTAGGGCAGATACTTCTGTGGAGGCCATAGAGAACTGAATATAGGGAGATGCCATATTTCTACCTTATAAGTGGCTTGAGAAACATGAGGAAAGTAGCTGGGCTGTAACATCATGACTTGGCCTCATAAACTCAAAGGAACAATCTAAGAACTGCCCCCCACCCCAGTTCTGTAGCAAAATTTCAGTGCTAAGTTGCCAACGTAGGAAGTGGGACCCAGCCGATCCACTTTCCTCTGAACACCAGGAACTATCACTCTCTCTGTACCACAGATATTCATTCTCTGGATGCTAAATGAATGAGCAGGTACTGCTGGCAGAGAACAAAGAAAGACTTCCCCAGGACCAGGGAAACGGGTGGGGAGCTGAACTGGGCACCTGGTTTGAAACAAACAGGGCACCATAGATGTGATGTAACATTCTCCAGTTGATCTCGTCTCTTAACAAGACCTCCGCACTGACCTTTTGTACCTGCCCTGTCCTACCAGGGCTTTATTGTCTTGCAAGAATTCTGCTAAGTCAGTCTAGGCAGAACCCCCACCCTTTAATATCTGATCACCTTCAAGAGTGGATCAGATTCCCTATACCCCTGCCCTTGACACCTGATTACCCTGTCCTGCCTTCAGCAAGAATCCTGTTAAGTCAGTTTAGCAAGAATTCTCCATCCTTGGACCTTCAAGGAATCATTCCTCTTAGTAACTTTCTGGGCAGCAAGTCCTCCAATCCTCACTGGTTCTAAATCTCCAGCAGTGTGTGCGGTGTGTATGCCCTACCTGCCTCCCTTCTGCAAGGCGCTTACTGCAGTCATCTTTTAAAAAATCACCCGCCCAATGAGTGCTGCAATAATGTTGGCACGGGATGGAGAGGTGCCAAACTAGACTTGATCCAAGTCTTGATCTCTTCTTCAAGACAGGGGGACAAAGAGAAAAGAGATAACCTGGGGTCCTAGCCCTAACTCCAAACTTTTCTGAGCCTGGGGAAAAAGTCCAGAGCTGTCTGCCAGGAGAGCCCGGGGTGCACATACCACAGAGGAGAACAAGCCAGTGGTAGCAGCACCAGTGAGCTTGGTCCATTGGGTCTCCAGATGCTGGCGATGAGTAGATCAAGGGACTGGGGAGAGAACTCGGTTGTTTGGTGGCCTCTTCCTCCTGGCTTTTCCTGGGCAGGAACAGGCAAGGTGGACTCGGCTGTGTCCTGCTGCTGGATGAGGATCCTTCTCTAATCTTTTGTTTCAGAGGAGTCTGGGTAGCCACAGAGGAGCCCAGGCAACCTGTGCTGGTTTCTTGTGGGTTGGAGTAGGGCGTGAGCCTGCCCCCGGGGCAGAGTCCAAAGATCTCTGAGTTCGAGGAGCAACAGCTGGTCTCAATCAGCCAGCTTCTCCCAGCCCCCTCTTCAGCAGCCCTACCTCAGCAGTTCCTGAATTCTCTTCCCCAGCCTCCAACAAGCTGTTTCCCATTAGCTCCTTCACATCAGGCGCTGGGTACAGCCCTGCTTTTGCTTTGTGGTGGATGTTTGTTCCTACTTCTGCTCCTCCTCGAAGCCCTCCTGTGTCAGGAAAAGCCAGTGAGCTCTCTCTCTCTCTCTCTCTCTCTCTCTCTCTCTCTCATCCCTCTTTCAGCTTTCCCTCCCTACCTCTCCCCCTCCCCACAAGCTTTGCCGCCGCACCCCAGGGGAGATGATTGTGACTAGCTGGGGGTGGGGGTCACTTTCTAGAAACTGGTATGAATTTGCCCACTAGTCCATCCTAAAAGGTACCAGCAGATCTTCCCTTGGGATCCCACAGACCCATTCAGTTGTGTAATCTGGGCTTTGCAAACTCTAAGCTCTTCAGGGACCTTGATCTGGGAGGAATACTTTTGAAGGCCCAAAGATTTGGAGGGCCCGAGGGCTGCCATTGAAGTGGGAAGAAGACCTTAGGAGGAGTGTGGTGACTCTGAGAAGAAATCCCTTTGACACAGCATCCAGAACAGAGATCTGGTCACCCTGCAGTGTGGCTCATTAAACAGTAGTCAGTTTCACCATCGAGCTACTTGCCACACCAAAAGCAGCACATGTGCTGGAAGATTCGAGAACTCTCTCCCCTTTGCTCCCCCCCCCACAGTCTGTTTCATTGGAAGCTTCAAGTCACACCAATTCTAAGACAGCTCCAAGGAAAGACTTTCTTTTTTGTTTATTTTTGTTGTTTTGTTTTTTGAGACAGGGTTTCTCTGTATTGCTTTGGAGGCTGGCCTGGAATTTGCTCTGTAGACCAGGCTGGCCTTGAACTCACAGAGATCTGTCTGCATCTGCCTCTCGAGTGCTGGGATTAAAGGCGTGCACCACCAATGCCAGGAAAGGCTTTCTAGAACCTTTGGGGCCCTGTGAGCCTAGAAAGAAATTCTTCCAAGTGACAGTTTATTATTAATTTTGACACAGAGTTTTGTATCAAAAGATCAAAAGCCTAGTCTAGTCTAGCCTTAAATTTGCAATCATCTTGCCTCAGCCTCCTGACTACTAGGATTATAGGTAACAGCCATCATGTCCAGCTTCAACTTTACTTTTAATATATTTGCCTTCTGTTTGCAAAAACAATACATAGCTGGGCGGTGGAGGGATAGGTAGGGCTGGCAGGCAGAAAGAATAAATAGAGGGAGAAATCTAGGACTTCGAGAAGGAAGACAACAAAGGAGATGCCCAGGGCCAGAAACCATGCAGCTGCCAGACAGGCAGATACAAGAAATAGTGAAAATGATACATACAGAAGGAAAGTAAAGGTAAAAAGTCTCAAGGCAAAAGGTGTATAAAGAGAAGGGGTTAATTTAAGTTAAAAGAGCTAGCCAGATAAGTGCCTGAGCAAAGCCGAGCATTCATAACTAATAACAATTCTCCATGTCATGATTTGGGAGCTAGTTAATGACCTAAAAGAGATAGCCTGGTACAGTGGGATAGTAGAGGAATTGGAGGCGGGATAATGGGGATGGATTTGATCAGAACATGGTATGTGTGTGTCTGAAATTATCAAACAATAAAATGAATAATGAAGTAGACAGACCTTTTTGTAAAGGGAAAGCGGATATTTTCTGGGACTCCCTGACAAGGCAGAGTCAAAATAAGTGAGGACATTTTTTGTGACCTCTGTTTTGGGGGGAGGGAGGGAAAGCAAAGGGCAGAAGTCCCCAACCTCAGGGTCAAGAACTGGAAGAAGTCCTTATCATTCCATGACTGTCAAAGCCCTTGTCTGCCCCTCCACCCCTGTCCCATCCTCTCTTCTCCATCCTTTCCAGGACTGCTGAAGTAGTTCCCAGAAATGGGAGAACTGCTTAAGGGCAGTGACTTCCTTGTGTTATACCAGCCACCTCATAGGGCGAGCATGGGCTCTGGCAGAGCTAGCCTTCAAGGACAGTTACTGTCAGTGGTTATCTGCATGGCCTCAGGTAGTGATTTCTCTTATCTTCACCTGTGACATGCTGTTCCCAAAAACATGCAAGTCTTCTGGTTCGACAAGGAGCAGAGCAGGCGAGCAGGGTAGGTTTTGTGTTTGTTTGTTTGTTTGTTTGTTTGTTTTTATGAAGCTGCAGCAGCATCCCTGCTAGAGCAAAGCTTAAATGCTTTCTGTTTGCTCATGCACATGCATGACCAGCAGCAAAGCAGGTCTCAACTACATCTTGTCCTTTCTGTCCTTGGCAACAGCATTGCTGAAATGGCAGTTATTGTTACCACAGCAAAACTCCGTGGGATCTAGGTTTCAAAAGCAATCCAACAACCCAGGCATCCCCGCCCTCATCTTCTGAACTCTGTCCTGGGATGTCTCCACTCAATACTTAGCCTTCTACTTCCATCCCCTGGGACCTTGCTTTGGCCTTCCTGTTGACAATTACCTCACCTGCCTGTACCCTCAGCTTGCCTTATCTCCTTATCAGGAAACCACTGTCTTTGCTTTCTTCAGTTTGGGGACTTGACCTCAAATATTGGCAATAGTCCTGGAGTAGAAAGCAATAATTCAGGATGGGCAGGGTGAATGGCCAAGGGTCCGTTGTATCAAAGTTATTTGGAAACCCATGAGTCACACACACACCATTCCCCCTGTGGCCTGCACAGACAGTTTTCACTTCTGCTGTTACATCTTTGAACTTCAGACCAAGTCCTGAAACTGGAGAAGTTGCTTTTCAGGGCCTCTCTCCACCTTGCCTCCTTTGCTTTCTTCCTTACATCCCAACTTCTGACCTGCAACTGTCCTGTCTCAGAACAAACAATCAAAAAAAAAAAAAAAAAAAAAAAAAAAAACTCAAACAAAACGTATCTCATTTGAGTATTTTTTTTTTAAACCTTGCTCTAACCCTTTACTTTCTTAGTTTTCCCTTTCTACATCACCTATCCCTGGGGGCAGGAGTTTGCTGTTACAGAATTTTGTCTTCCCCAGAACATTCAGAGCACGATTAAGATGAATTGGTTGACACTAAATCCCAACAATGCATGGGGTGGCCTCTCCATCCCTCTCCCAAAAAGAATATCCTAAATTGGGTGGATTTTCTAGTCGCAGAAGCCTTCTGGGATGCTGCTGTATGCTACGCTACTTTCATTATACCTGCTTCACAGCAACAAATGGTTCAAGTCCTTAATTTTAGATTCTTTGGAGACTAAGACACAGGAAACTGTGAGGTTCAGGCCACATGTGAGTAAAAAGTACTGCTCAGTGGTAGGATACTTGCCTAGCATGTCAAAGTTCCTGGTTCACCCTTAGTACTACGTAGATACAAACAGGCTCAGAAAATGATTCCTTTTGCATACATGTGTATGTTGGTGCTGGTGAGCACGTGCAGGGTATGGTCAAAGGGGAGGAGCAGGGTTCACGTCATGGAACTTGATCTTTAGAGTCATGTAGCCCACGATCTCCTTGTCCAAACAGTAGGGCAGCAGAGATGGTCATTTCTCCTGTCAGGAGGTATGTTGGCTGTCCCTTAAGTTGTGGCTGGAAGATTCGGTGAGAAGCTCCTAAGTGCTCATGGCTCTTCATGCTGCCTGCCAAAGCTGTCTCCTCTTCCTCCTCCCCTCCGCCTGCTCCTTCTCCTTCCTCTCCTCTCCTCTCCTCTTCCTCCACTCTCCCCCCCCCCCACCAGACTATTGGTAGTTATGGGCTAAGAACTAGTTAACTGCCCACCAGTTAGTTTGATTCCATTCTGTGTTTAGTCAGGCTTTGTCACAAACCTGTGTTGCCACTTCAAGGACCTCGCATTGCATAAGGGTACTCGGCAATCGCACCAATGGGACTTGCCAAGATATTAGTCAGTTACCCTCAAACCTCTCTTTGGTGGCCTTTTGGGACTTTTCTGACCATCTGTCCTCTTTGGTAGCCAGATATTTTTTTACACCTCAGCCATGTGGGGTCATATTTCCACCATCTCTACTCCAGCCAGGCTACCCTTTGTTTTTCTCAGGTTCTTTTCTTCTTGGCTTGGCTTTGTCAAGTCCTCCTTGTCTCCAAGTGCTGCCTGGTCTGGAAGCTAGGCCAGCTCTTCCTTCTATGCCTCTGTCTTTACCTCTGTCTTTACCTGTCATTTGCCTCCAATATTCCCCCAGTCATGAGGAAGAGTATGGTAACAAGCTTATGGGCGCCTCTAACTGAAGTATGTCCACCTGGATTATTCCAAGTTTCCTGTCAATGACACTTCAGAGTTCTTCCAGGCCACAGCCCCTCAGTTCTCAGTCCTTTCTTCTCTACCCTTCCTTAGCCCCTAACCCATATGGGGCCTTGGCATTGCCTAGAATTGTTGTCCTCTGACCTTTTGAAGTCTAGCCTTTTATTCTCTAAGCACATCTCACTATCCTTGGTAATAGATCTTTAGCCCTTATTCTTCCCACTCCAGACTCTCCACTATGCCAAATCTTCCTCAGTTTTATCTATCATTTTCCTGTCCACTTATCAGCATCCTCTGGCTCGATTTCCTTCTTATTTGGTCCAAAGTACATTTTCCCTCAGTCCAACCCAAGAAGAGGTACTATTGGTGTAGGTATGGTCTTGTTGGAGGAAGTGTGTGATTATGGGGGTGGGCTTTGAGGCCTCCTTTGCTCAAAGTATACTCAATGTGACACACAGTTGCTTCCTATTGACTGCGGATCAAGATGTAGGAATCTTAGCTTATTCTCCAGCACCATATCTGCCTGCATGCTGTCATGTTCACCAATATGATGATAATGGACTAAACCTCTGAAACTGTAAGCTTCCCCTGTTAAATGGTTTCTCTTGTAAGAGTTGCTGTGTCATGGTGTCTCTTC